GGAGAAGATATTTGCAAATGACAGTACAGACAAAAGGTTGATATCCAGGATCTATAAAGAACTTCTCAAACTCAACTCACACAAAACAGATAATCATGTCAAAAAATGGGCAGAAGACATGAACAGACACTTCTCCAATGAGGACATACAAATGGCTATCAGACACATGAAAAAATCTTCATCATCACTAGCCATCAGGGAGATTCAAATTAAAACCACATTGAGATACCACCTTACACCGGTTAGAATGGCCAAAATTAGCAAGACAGGAAGCAACGTGTGTTGGAGAGGATGTAGAAAAAGGGGAACCCTCTTACACTGTTGGTGGGAATGCAAGTTGGTGCAGCCACTTTGGAGAACAGTGTGGAGATCCTTAAGAAATTAAAAATAGAGCTTCCCTATGACCCTGCAATTGCACTACTGGGTATTTACCCCAAAGATACAGATGTAGTGAAAAGAAGGACCATCTGTACCCCAGTGTTTATTTTATAGCAGCAATGGGCACGGTCGCCAAACTGGAAAGAACCAAGATGCCCTTCAACGGATGAATGGATAAGGAAGATGTGGTCCATATACACTATGGAGTATTATGCCTCCATCAGAAAGGATGAATACCCAACTTTTGTATCAACATGGATGGGACTGGAAGAGATTATGCTCAGTGAAATAAGTCAAGCAGAGAGAGTCAATTATATGGTTTCACTTATTTGTGGAGCATAACAAATAACACGGAGGACATAGGGAGATGGGGAGGAGAAGGGAGTTGAGGGAAATTGGAAGGGGAGATGAACCATGAGAGACTATGGACTCTGAAAAACAATCTGAGGGTTTTGCAGGGGCGGGGGGTGGGAGGTTGGGGGAGCCGGGTGGTGGGTATTATGGAGGGCACGTATTGCATGGAGTACTGGGTGTGGTGCATAAACAATGAATTCTGTTATGCTGAAAAGAAATTTAAAAAAGGAAGAAGAAGAAAGTCATGAAGGTGTAGATGGGGCAAACAATGTGTAAGCCATTACAGGGACTGTGGCTTTTACTCTGAGAGAGATGGAAGCCAGTGGAGGGTCTTTGAACAGAGAATGACAAAATTTAACATATTTTAAAAGGTTCATTCTGGCTTTTAAATAGTGAGACTAGATAATTAGAAACTAAGAAATGTCTTATTTATTTTGTTATCTCAAATAACTAACACAGTATTTGGTATATAGTCAGTGCTAATAAATATCAAAAGGCTTACAAGTTTTCATAGCAGTCCATCTTTAAAATGACATTTTTAGATAACCAGGATATTTTAATATGGATTAGATATTAGATGATATAAATGGTATTTTTTAGGTGTGATACTAGTATAGTAGTTACATTTGAAAGAGGGCTTATTAGTTAGAAATACATAAAGAATCTTTACTGATAAAATCAATAGTGTTTAGATCTTGCTATAAGTGTTCCAGCAAAAATAAGCAAATATGTAAAAGTGGGAGGACTGATAAAACAAGATGAGTAAAATACTGATAACCATTAAAGCAGGTGACGGATGTATGGGATTCGTTCTATTTATTACTATTTATATTATATTTACTACTTATGACTATTTATTCTACTTCTGTGTATATTTGAAATGGCCATAATAAAGTTGTATATATGTTTATATAGAGACATAAATATATATTTATCTTTCTAGATATAGATACCTGTTTATAGAGATGTATACGTATAGATAAAACACATAACATTTTACTTGGTGATTATACCTTTAATAATTCTACCTTTAAAAATCTATCATAAAGAAATAATCAGATCGGGGTACCTGGCTGGCTCAGTCAGTAGAGGAAGGGACACTTGATCTCAGGATGCTGAGTTGAAGCCCCACCTTAGGTGTAGAGCTTCCTTTTAAAAGAAAAAAGGAGGGGTGCCCGTGTGCCTCAGTTGGTTAAGTGGCTGCCTTTAGCTCAGGTGGTGATCCCAGGGTCCTGGGATCCAGCCCCCCCCACCACTTCCTTCCTCAGCGGGTAGTCTTGTTCTCCCTCTCCCACTGCCCCTCCCCCCACTCGTGGGCATGCTTTCTCTCAAATAAATAAAATCTTTTAGAAAAAAAAAAGAAACCATCAGATAGTCTCGGATGTAAATAAAAAGATTTTCATCTTAGTATTCTAAAAATAGCTAAAATTTAAACAACTACATTTTTAACAGCTGGAAAATAAAAACTATGGTATTATTGTTAAAGTAGAATACTCTGCAGTCCTTAGGTTGTTTTCAAAGACTATTTAATGACTTTAAAAATATTCAAAATAAAATGTTAAGTGAAAAAAGCAGAATGAAAAATTGAATACAATATTATCCCAGTTTTTACTAAGCATATCTAAATACTTTGTAGATTAAAATTTCAAAGAAATACACTAAATCTGGGGCACCTGGCTGGCTCAGTCGGTAGAACATGCAACTCTGGATCTCAGGGTTGTGAGTTTAAGCCCCACATTGGGTGTAGAGATTACTAAAAAAACAATCTTTGGGAAAGAAAAGAAATATACTAAATTATTACTAGTAGCATCTCTAGGTGGTGGGATTTTAGGTCTTCTTTATTTCTTTTACTCTTTATACTAATCTGTACTTCTAAAATTTTCATTATTTTTCTTTTAAGATATTTATATGACAGAGAAAGATAGAGGGAAAGCACAAGCAGTGGGAGCCGCAGGCATAGGGAGAGGGAGAAGCAGGCTCCCCACTGAACAGGGAGCCCGAAGCAGGCCTAGATCCCAGGACCCTGGGATCATGACCTGAGCCAAAGGCAGATGCCTACTGACTGAGCCACCCAGGCACCCCTAAAATTTTCTTTAGTAAACATACCTGCTTTTATTAAAACAGATAACAGAAGATACTGTCAAAGTCTCAAGCTCATAAACCTTTTGACCATAATACCCTTTATATTAAGATAAATAAATAATAAAATAGACATAAAGATTCATGTTCCAGGATGTTCATTGAATTGCTATTTATGCTAGCAAGAAACTGGAAATATCTAAATGACCAACCAGTTGGAGAATGATTAAATTATGGCACATTGATGTGCAGCTAGTAAATGTTTTCAGAGAGTGAATTACTGAAAATATTCATGGTATAATAGGAAGATACTGAATCGTGTGTGATTTAAATTAATGTTTTTTAAAAAATGAAAGATGAAGGCAGTCATCGTGTTAGCAGAGAGTTGTTTTAATTTTTGTTTTATTACTTCCTGTGCTTTCTGATTTATCTACACTGGCCATGTATTTATAATCAAAAATGTAATTAAGTATTTTGAAACAAAATACCAAGTCCAAGGAGAAGAACATGGATGTTTGAGGAGAAAAATAAGATCTGGAATCACTGCTAGAGGATTAATGCTGAGTACTTAATGAAATGTAAATGATTATTAAACAAAAGGTTGGACTTTATGTAATAGGTCAAGCCTGTTTAGTTTTATGTGTTCCAGCTGTGCTCACCAGGCTGGCAGCACAAGGAGAGGCCAGAGCCTAGTCCTCTAGGATTAGGAGTGCTTGACAGAAGGTCAGGGCACCATTGTAGCTGCTGTACCTCCACAGTGGTATGAAGATGCTTTTCTACTGTCAAGTTCTAGGCAAATAGTAGTGGTAGTTCTCTTCTGTCCCTTGGCTCCCGGCCTAGTTGCAGCCCTCCTTATTCTTATTCACACTTACTGACTGCTCTTTCTGCCTCCACGCTTCCTCCCTACCATCTTTTGCCTTCCTGCTTAGCTTTCTCTTTCTAAAGCACCAGTCACGTCGTGTTATTCTCTTTTCGGAAGCCTGTGCTGGCTCTCCATCTCCTTAGAATATCTGAACTTTTAAGCCACAAATGCAAGGCTCATTAGGATCTGGTCCCAAAGTACCTTTCCCGCCTGATCCCCTGCTGTATATCTCCATACACCTTTTTCCTGGGCCTCGCCATCCTACCTGTCCTTCCCTGAGTAAGCGAAGCTTGTTAGCTGACAACTCCGTGTTTTTGCTCTTGCTACATCCTCTGAAGCATTTGAGGGACAGTCTTTGGACTTACAGTTGTTATTTCTGCTTTGGTTCGGCTGTTTACAAGTGGTTGTGTGAGCTTTAATATGTTATTTTGATCTCTTTGAGCCTCAGGTGTTTTTCTTAAATTCTTCATCTTCATAATGTTACTACTTACCTGACAGAGTTGTTAGGAATTCACTCTGGTAATGAATACAAACGCATGTTGTAAGCTAAATGCACACACGTATGGCATTATTTTCTACCTACCTCTGTTAGGATGCTTTTGACTTCAAATAACAGAAATCCAACTGAAAATGGCTTAAACAATGAGGAAGCAAGTCTGGAGGTAAGGCGGTTCCAAGGTTGGTTAATGCAGCAGCTCAGTAGTGTCATCAGGGACACAGGGTCCTGCCATCCTCCTGCTCTGCTCTTCTTTGTTATTCTTAGGTTTGTTCCCCTCATGGTAGTAAGATGGCAGCTACAGTGTTAGGTGTCACACAGATGGCTATGTTCAGAGGAAGGAGAGAACATCCCTTTAGGATGCCCCTTAGGAAATCTTTCTGGAAGCTTCTTCCCTGTCTCCACCCACCGTTTTCCCCCTATAAACTTTCCATCATGTCTGATTGAAAAAAACTGCAGCACATGCCCATGCCTAAGCCAGTCATCACTGGGAAAGGGAATGAGCTCATCTTAATTAGCTCAGACCAATCATGACTCACCCCCTGGTGCTGGCTCCCATCTCTCCGAAAGGAGCCAATGCTCAGAAAAGGACAAAGTGGAGGCTCTGTTAGGGAGGGAAAGATTGCGATAGCACAGGCTTCAGGGATGATCCTGGTTTGTTGGAACAGGGAGGTAAATGAGTGATAAGTAGTAGATTCATCGTAAAGGAGAGTTTGTTTCTGGTAGATCAAGATTTTGGTCAGGCAGCAAATGATGAGAGGACAGACGGGGTGGGAAGAGTGTGAAGTTTTTGCTTTTCTAGTTTTAACATTTGTCTTTATATCTAAATAGGTGTGCAGTGGAGCTGACGAAGACCCTGACGATAAAAACGCACCGTTTCGGCAGCGGCCATTTTGCAAATATAAAGGACATACCGCCGATCTCCTTGATCTTTCGTGGTCTAAAGTAAGAAATTCTTACTTGGAGAGTGTATTAATTCTACATAACTGTGACTTCAGGATAAAAACAGATGTTTTGTTTTTCAAGTGTCTTGTTATGTATACTACATGGGAGTTACCTACAAAGTAATCAGTTAAAAGAGGAGAAACATTCAATTAGGCTAATACAATGTTTATATTAAGAGCTTCTGTCTGGATCTGTCTTTAAACTTTTATTTTTGGCTTCTTTATAAACTAATTGTGCAAAGTTGCTGTTCTTACAAAATGAATATATGATTTCAGCTACAGTGCTGAAGTCAGATCTATCTAATCAAGACTGCTTTGGTTAATCTGCTATATTTATTAAATCATTAAGTTTAACAATATATGACTCTTTGATAAGTCATCACTTTATGTGTTTTTTCCCTTAGAGCAAAATTATTTCAGAAGTAGAGGGCCTGTTTTGCCACTGAACAAATATCTTAGCAGTTTTGCAAAAATTTAGAGAGATACTTTTAATTTTATTTAAGGCATTTGAAGCATGAAGCAGTGTTTAGAATTCCATCTCCTACCCAGCTCCCCTCCAGCAACCCTGTTAGTTTCCTACAGTTAAGATGTCTGTCTTTCTCAGACTGATGTAGTTCACTTAGCATAATACCCTCTAGTTCCATTCACATCGTTGCAAATGGTAAGATTTCATTCTTTTTAATGGCTGAGTAATATTGTAACAGAATTCTATTTTTTGGTTGTATAATACACTATCTATTTATTTTTATTTTTTTTAAAGATTTTATTTATTTATTTGACAGATCACAAGTAGGCGGGATGGGGGGAGCAGGCTCCCTGCTGAGCAGAGCCCAACGTAGGGCTTCATCTCAGAACCCTGAGATCATCACCTGAGCCAAAGGCAGAGCCTTATTAACCTGAGCCACCCAGGCACCCTTACACTATCTATTTAAAAACAAGTAGGGCTACCTGTGTCACTCAGTTAAACATCAGACTCTTGATTTCTGAGAGTCTGCTTAAGGATTCTTCCTGTCTTCCTCTGCTCCTCCCCTCCATGTCCGCAGGCAGCACGCGTGCGCATGCTCTCTCTCTAATTAATTCATTAAATAAAAACAGGTAGACTACATAAAACATACACTTTTACAGCTAGCCCCAAATGTCATATATTTATCAGTACAGTAACATATCCAAATTGATATTTGCGCTTAGTATTTAACATCTCTGTGCCTCAGTGTTCTCATTTGTGACGGAGGATAATGATATACCTAGTTCATAGTATAGTGTTAACAATTTAGTACATTGCAGGTACTCAATAAATGTCATCATTGCTTTGATTTGCTTAGCACCTTTAGGAATACCAGAGAATACTAGGGTCTCTTTGTGTTGCCTCATTCAGTATAACACATAGGTCTTAAATTATGCCAAAAAGTTAAAGAACTTCTGCCAGCTAGAAACTTTTGACAGATGTTTGGATCCTGGGTGATGGACCCTCACCGTGCCTAAAGCAGTTACACTCCCCTCTTCTAGCTTCTAGAAAATTCTATGATCTATTCTGAGATGTTTGACGATTTCTCTTCTCTCATTTTCTTGCCTTGGGTGTGACAGGTGCACAATAACTTTTCATTTTCATGCTGCATTATAGGGTAATCTTTTTGAAGGCATTTTAAGTGGCAATTAGGGAATTCTTGTGAGTTAAAATTCACCAGTGTTGCCAATGTCAGAATAACTAAAGTGACAATCTTGTGAATGGATGTCTTATATTCATAGCCTGGTTTCACTATATGGGGACTATAAAAACTAAGGCACACCTTAGTCGTCTTGGTGCTTAGCAGATTTTTTTTTTTAAAGATTTTATTTATTTGACAGACAGAGATCACAAGTAGGCAGACAGGCAGGCAGAGAGAGGGGAGGAAGCAGGCTCCCTGCTGAGCAGAGAGCCCGATGTGGGACTCGATCCCCGGACCCTGGGATCACGACCTGAGCGGAAGGCAGAGGCTTTAACCCACTGAGCCACCCACGTGCCCTAGCAGATTTATTTTAACATAGATCATAAGATAATCCTAATTTTAGAACAGGTCATATAAAAAAAAGTCTTAGAACCAAAGGAATATGGCATGTAAAGGGGAGAAAAATAGGATCTTCCAAGTGAATTGGATAATCTTTTGTTCTTTCTAATGCTAGGTATAACATAATAATAACAAAACTGTTGAGATACATAGAACTGAAAGTTTGCTTTTATTGTGCAAGTAGTGTTTTCTTAGGGTGATAAAATGATCAATGTCAATTTCTCACTAGAACTACTTCCTGCTTTCTTCTTCGATGGATAAAACAGTCAGGTTATGGCACATTTCCAGAAGAGAATGCCTTTGCTGTTTCCAACATATAGATTTTGTCACTGCCATAGCTTTCCATCCAAGAGTAAGTAATTGTTTTTTTGTTTTTTGTTTTTAATTTTATTTATTTATTTGACAGAGAGAGAGATCACAAGTAGGCAGAGGCAGGCAGAGAGAGGGGGAAGCAGGCTCCCCACTGAGCAGAGAGCCCAACATGGGGCTCAGTCCCAGGACCCCGAGATCATGACCTGAGCTGAAGGCAGAGGCTTTAACCCACTGAGCCACCCAGGTGCATTATTAAAAGCCACATAGTTGAGAATAACTTAATTTAGTCTTTCTCTTTTTTTCCTTCTTTCCTCCCACCTCCCTTCCTCCCTTCCTCATTTATTTATTTTAGCGTAGGCTCCACACCCGGCATGGAGCCCAGTATGGGGCTTTAGCTCACAACCCAGAGATGAAGACCTGAGCTGAGATCAAGAGTTGGACTCTTAACTGAGCCACACAGGCAGCCTCTTTTTTTTTCTTTTTTTGGTTAAGATTTATTTATTTTGAGAGAGAGAGAGGCACCAGCATGAGGTGGGGTGGGGAGGGAAAGAGGGAGGAGGACTGTCCAGCAGAGCCCGCCCATGTGCGGTTCATTCTCACAACCCTGACACTTCGACCTGAGCCAAAACCAAGAGTCAGATGCTCAACCACCTGAGCCCCCCCAGGCGCCCATTAAGCATCTGACTCTTGATCTCAGCTCAGGTCTTGAACTCCAGGTTGTGAGCTTAAGCCCCACCTTGGGTTACAAGCATGTAGCCTATTTAAAGAAAAGAGAAGACAGGAAATATTCTGCTAATCTGTATTAGAACTAGAAACGTAACTATAATAATGAAAAGCCATCCCAAATCTTTAATAACATATGCAGGGTGTGAATAATGTATGCTGTTAAAGATGAGAGAGGTTGGAGGTGGAGGAAGAAGAGACAGCAGGTGGGTAAATAAGCTAGGGAAGCATATAGGGAAGAATAGTGGGAGGGGTGGGGTGAGAAGAGACAAAGAAGAAAAGGTTGAAAGAGGCAAAGATCAAAATTCATTATAAGGTATACTGAATTCCTGTATAATGTCTGGAAATACTGTTTTTGGTTTTTTGGTTGGGTGTTGTGGGTTTTTGTTTTGTTTTGTTTTGTTTTGGTGAACTCTGCACCCAGTATGGGGCTTGAACTCAATGACCCTGAGATCAAGAGTCTCATGCTCTAGCGACTGAACCAGCCAGGCGCTCCTGGAAATACTGTTAATCATGAGATCCATGTTAATTCATTTTCAGTGTAGAAAATCCCTCACAATCTTTCCTCTGAAAAGGAAGTATTTCATATGATTTCAACCAAAGGAGGAAAATTCATCTTGGAATTGCTGACTTTATTATGTTCTTATAGGATAAAGCCACCAAATGAGTAAGGCTAAATTAATTTTCGCTCTTTACAACTGTAAGCACAAGGGAAGGCCCATGCCGGTGCTGCTCCACTAGCCGGGCTGAGATAAGTGGAGGACTTGAGCTGACCTGACTTACCCTCCCCCGTGTTGACGTATAAATCCTATTTCTGTTCACGTCCCCATCTCTGTATGTTTAACACCCATTGTCATGTTAATGCAGTATTTTATTTACACTCATATTTCTTCCTCTTTTTCCCCAAATTAAGAGAGAAGAATGACTTTTTTCCCCCTTCAATATCATTTCCCTCCCAGGGCGGGCTTGTAATATAGACCCTTAGAAGACTTTGGTTCAGAACTTGGCAAATTAAAAATGCTTAATCTTTGCAGATACCTTATCAGTTTGGACCGTCAAGCTTTTTGAGGCTTCTTTCTGAATAACACCCCCATCCTGTCAGCCAATGATGCAGCAAAAGAATGGCTTTACTCCTGTCAGCAACTGTGAACAAAATCCTTCCCTCACCTCTATTTTAACTAATATGTCAGGGTGGAAAGGGAGAGGTATTAGGTGTGATAGTTACCTGTGTAGTACTTTATTATTAAGGTTCCTGTTTAGTCAGTACTTTTTCTATACTTATATTTGGTTTCATTTTTGGAAACCAAAAAGCCCTAATTCTAAAATTCTGTAGATCTGAAGGATTTTTAAGAGGGGCTGGGGTAGGATGGTGTGGTGTTAACATTTTCTTAGGAAACATGACTCTATTAAAATAATGTTATCTAGAAAGAAGAAAGCAGAATTATAAAAGAAATAGCAAAATGAAGATAATATATGCACACACATATACACACACGTATGCATGTATGTAAATAAAATTCTGATTTGTAAGACCAACATGAAGTCTTTTTACTTGTTCTGCTCTTCTACTGGTAGTCATTAAGTAGAGCCTACTATACCACAGCCATAAAAATGTCCTTTCTCTATAAATTGTCTTTGACAATCTTCAGAGGTGAGTAAAAATGATAGTCTTAGATTTTTTTTTATTATTTATTTATTTTTTTGACAGAGATCACAAGTAGGCAGAGAGGCAGGCAGAGAGAGAGAGGGAAGCAGGCTCCCTGCTGAGCAGAGAGCCCGATGTGGGACTCGATCCCCGGACCCTGGGATCATGACCTGAGCCGAAGGCAGAGGCTTTAACCCACTGAGCCACCCACGTGCCCTAGCAGATTTATTTTAACATAGATCATAAGATAATCCTAATTTTAGAACAGGCTCTAACCCACTGAGCCACCCAGGCGCCCCTAAAAATGATAGTCTTAAGCAGAAGGGAATACTTCTTGTTTTGGCATTCCAATTATTTTACTCTTAATTCTTAACGTTACCAATAGACCAGTTTAGGTGATCATTTTTGCAACATATACAAATCTTGAATCATTACGTTATACCCCTGAAACGAATAGAACATGGTCTGCCAGTGATCTCTCATTATGCCAGCTTGGTGGTAGGCCTGCTTTAGTGTATAGCAGGGTTTCTCGTTCTTGGCACTTGACATTTTGAGCTGGATCTTTCTTTGTTGTAAAGGGAATAAATTCTGTCCTGTGCATTGCAGAGTGTTTAACAGGATTCCTGTCCTCTCCCCACTAGATGCCAAGAACATCCCATCCCCAGTTGTGACAGTCAAAAATGTCTCCAGACATTGCTAGATGTCCTCTGTGGGGCCAGCTTGCCCCCTGTTGAGAAGCCCTGCTTTGGGATTGAGAATTTGAATACTGAAGCAATTTCCTACTGACATGGTGTCAAAATTGACCACAAAACAACTGGTTCTCTGGGCTAACCATCGTTAGTCTTTTATCCAAGTACTATGTGGATCCCAGAGGAAGATCCGGACAAACATATCATTACAGGATAGTTTCTCCCAAAGCGTGTTCCTTGAGGGTACTAACCCTGCTAGGTGTTCCTGCCGACTCTCTCCCAACCACAACACCCCCCCCCAAAAATGTCCCTGGTTATATAAGTTGGAAAGTGCTACCTACTTTATTCCTCTTTTGGAGATTGAGAATGCATATTAACTGAGAATCCTAACTTTCTGTAACCCAGAATCTCTCAAACTTACATGAACCATTCTCCCACACAACCATTCTCCAACACATCCATTAACATCCATACTTTGGGAAAAGCAGTTTAAGGATATGATAAAGTAATTAGAAATCATTTTTCTTTTTTGTTAAGATTTTATTTATATGACAGAGATCACAAGTAGACAGAGAGTCAGGCAGAGAGAGAGAAGCAGGCTCCCTGCTGAGCAGAGAGCCCAATGAGGGGCTCGATCCCAGGACCCTGAGCTCAGGACCTGAGCCAAAGGCAGAGGCTTTAACCCACTGAGCCACCCAAGCGCCCCTAGAAAGTCATTTTTCCAAAGTGAATACTGAAGTTTCTAATAGTTATTTTTAGTGAATAAAATAATGCTTGCTTGGAGGTGCCTCCCTGGCTCAATCCGTAGAGCATGTGACTCTTGATCTCCTTGGGGTTGTGAGTTCAAGCCCCACATTGGGTATAGAGATTACTTAAAAATAAAATCTGAAAAAAAAATACTTAAAGAATAGTATTTTATTAATGGGATCTAAATATGTTTTAAGGATTAATTCTAACAGGCTTTATGTTTTGATTTGCTAATGAATTTTTCTTGATCTGGTAAAACGAGAGCTTTCTCTTTTGCAACATTTTTAGGATGACAGGTATTTTCTAAGTGGGTCATTGGATGGAAAGCTCCGCCTTTGGAACATACCTGACAAAAAAGTCGCTTTGTGGAATGAAGTAGATGGTCAAACAAAATTGATCACAGCTGCAAATTTCTGTCAGAATGGCAAATACGCAGTGATTGGGACATATGATGGCAGATGTATTTTCTATGATACAGAGGTAAAGGATTATGTTGTGTAAATTGCATGATGGAATACTTAGCAGTTTCGTATAAGTTGGTATATCCTCTCTGGGCATATAAATTGGGGTGAATGATACTCGGCCTCTCTGTAGCTTGTATCAGATGATCTTTGAGGTTCCTTCTAATCCTATTTTAAATTTGTGATTTCTTTTCAGCATTTGAAATACCACACACAAATACATGTCCGGTCTACCAGAGGACGCAACAAAGTTGGAAGAAAAATTACTGGTATTGAACCTCTACCTGGAGAAAATAAGGTACTAAGTATTCAAAACCATCTCTCCTCACACTGTATATAGACTCCTGAAAATTCTTACTGTCTTGGCTTAAGAATGTATTTTCTGTCATGTGGAATATAGGCTTTTCTAGTTTTGAGGTATATTCTCTCTGTATATGTGTATGTAATACCCTTTTTGGTTATACCTTAACTTAGATTAAAAGATGGCATTTTTAACTTTTCCTTTGATTTATTTTTAGATACTGGTAACCTCAAATGACTCCAGAATCAGACTATATGATCTTAGAGATTTGTCACTGTCCATGAAGTATAAGGGTTATGTCAACAGTAGCAGCCAGATCAAAGCAAGTTTCAGGTAAACTGGCAATGAGAAATTCCCAAAAGAGATATTTCTCTTCTACTCCCATATTTTCTTTGATCTATGCCTTACGTCTCTATGGTGTTTTTCCTTTCTTTGCACTTTTAAAACTGACCGCTCACGTTGTCATCCTGCAGTCCTAACCGTGTCTACCTGTTCAGTCGACAGAGTTGAGTTGCCCCTATTCTGCAGACAAAGAAACCGAGACTCAGAAAATGAAGTGATTTGTCTGAAGTCACTGGTAGTTGCAGAGCTGGGATTAGAAGACTCACTCCCAGCTCTGGAATTTGTGGTTTTGTACTTTTTTTTTTTTAAGATTTTATTTATTTATTTGACAGATAGAGGTCACAAGTAGGCAGAGAGGCAGGCAGAGAGAGAAGGGGAAGCAGGCTTCCTGCTGAGCAGAGAGCCCAATGCATGCAGGGCTCGATCCCAGGACCCTGGGATCATGACCTGAGCCGAAGATGGAGGCTTTAACCCACTGAGCCACCCAGGCGCCGCATCTGGTTTTGTACTTTTAGGTCAGCTTTTCTAAGAGGAAGCTTACCTGCCACCCACCCGTGGTCTTGATTCTTTTAGGTACTGAAGCCGATAAAGCATTTTAACACCCTGAAGTCCGGCATCCTGTATTTATACCTTTACATCACATTATTATTTGAACTCTTAATTGGGGGTCTGGAGGCACTCCTGAAATTACTGCATCTTCTTCCTCATAGCCCTCTTTCGTTCAGCCCTTTCCTTAACAGTTTCCTTTCTTCTTGAATTACCCAGTAATTACCGAGAAATTTAGTTGGTGAAGTGTTCTGCTTCTCTCTTTCATCTCTTAAGTAGGCGTTTCTCCCCGTGTGGGTTAACAGACAGCACAGTTATCTAGAGCTTTCGTGAAAATCCTTGTGCCTCTGGGCTCCATGTTAGACCTGCATGTTCAGAACCTCTCGAGTAAGACTAGGAGTCTGTATATCAACAAGCTCTCCTGGGTGTTCGCTTGGGAGTCTTAAAGTAGGAAGGGCTGCTAGAAGGAAACCTAAAATATCCAAAACTGACTTTTTTTTCTTTCCCAAATTTAGCCATGATTTTAGTTACCTCGTCAGTGGCTCAGAAGATAAGTATGTTTATATCTGGAGTACTTACCATGACCTCAGCAAGTTTACTTCAGTCAGGAGAGACCGGAATGATTTTTGGGAAGGTATTAAGGGTAAGTAAATGCCTGCTCCTGTGTGTCCTCCAAATGAGTAAAGTTAAGATGGAGATGTATTAGGGGCGCCTGGGTGGCTCAGTGGGTTAAAGCCTCTGCCTTCTGCTCAGGTCATGATCCCAGGGTCCTGGGATCGAGCCCTGTGTCAGGCTCTCTGCTCCACGGGGAACCTGTTTCCCCCTCTCTCTCTGCCTGCCTCTCTGCCTACTTGTGATCTCTCTCTGTCAAATAAATAAATAAATAAATATATTAAAAAAAAAAAAAGATGGAGATGTATTACAAGTAAGTGTGAATAGGCATTACTTCAGAGACAGTCTGGTAGCCATAACTGCTTTTGCTTTGTATTTGGCTTTGTTTGACTTTTCTATACCAAGGCCGAACTTAGACAGGCACACCTCATTTTAATTAAGCTGGGTACGTTGTTTTTGTACCTAATTCTGTTGCACATTAATTGACTGCAGCACAGGATAGATACAATTTTTATATATGCACTGGCAAACAGAAAAATTCGTTTGACTTGCTTAACTGCAATGTCCGCTTTTTTACAATGATCTGAAACAAAACCTGCAATATCTCTGAGGTATGCCTGTGTGGGGTATTTTTTTTAAGCACATATATTTGGGTTTTAAATAGTTCTTAATGGGGAGCCTGGGTGGCTCAGTGGGTTAAAGCCTCTGCTTTCGGCTCAGGTCATGATCCCAGGGTCCTGGGATTGAGCCCCACATCGGGTTCCCTGCTCAGCAGGGAGCCTGCTTCCCTCTCTCTCTCTCTGCCTGCCTCTCTGCCTACTTGTGATCTCTGTCAAAAAAGTAAATAAAATCTTTAAAAAAAAAAATAGTTCTTAATTACTTATGTGCTAATTTTAAAGGATACTAGCTAATAACATATACTGGTTTAAAAAATACACTATTGTATTTTTTGCATATGATGCTTTCTGTCTGGATGTTTAGGATCAAGTTTATTAGTTATGCTGAAATACATTTTTTTCCCCAGCACATAATGCAGTTGTTACATCAGCCATCTTTGCTCCAAACCCAAGTTTGATGTTGTCTTTGGATATGCAATCCGAAAAAGCAGAAGGGAATGAAAAAAGTGAAGATGCTGAAGTTTTAGATACCGTGCCCTCTGGTAGGTACTCAGTTTATTTGACCTACATTTTTTCTAGTCAGCACTTATAGCTTCATTGACCTACGTTTGGTATTGTCAGGTTTTTGTGTGTGTGAAGAAATATTTCTTGTTTACGACTTAAGTGTGAGTTTCCCCTTCCAAACATTTCAGTAACCTCTTTCTTGCAAGTTTTACTTCATTTAGATTTACCTTTGAATTAAAAATGAAAATTTTGGAAGTTCTTTTTTTTTAAAAGGTTTTTGTTTTTTTTAAAGATTTTATTTATTTGACAGAAAGAGATCACAAGTAGGCAGAGAGGCAGGCAGAGAGAGAGAGAGAGAGAGGAGGAAGCAGGCTCCCTGCCGAGCAGAGAGCCCGATGCAGGACTCGATCCCAGGACCCTGAAATCATGACCTGAGCCAAAGGCAGAGGCTTAACCCACTGAGCCACCCAGGCGCCCTATTTTTTTTTTTTTATTTGAAAGAGAGCACAAGCCAAGTGCTTGATCTCAGGACCCTGGTAGAACCACCCAGCTGCCCCCATCATTAATTATTATTTTTAAAGATTTTATTTATTTGAGAGAATGAGATCATGAGCAGGGGGGAAGGGTAGAGGGAGAAGCAGACTTCCCGCTGAGCAGGGAGCCCAGCGCAGGACTCAGTCCCATCATGACCTGAGCTGAAGGCAGACACTTAATCGACTGTGCCACCCAGACTCCCCAAAAGTTCATTATTTTTTTTTATTATGGGCAGTTGTTCCCTTTGGAAAAGTGCAAACAAAACATACAAATACAAAATTTCTTTGTTGTCTGTCTCTTCTAGCAGACTCCAATTCTGAGGACAGAGACTTATTATGTCCTATATATTATTCTAATGCCATTGCCTACATATAGTTGGTCCTAATAAGCATGTGTTGAACAAATGAATTAAACCAAATAAAAGTAGTGTCCTTTTCTACTTGTCACAAACTGATAGCTTTATAACTTCTCAGGTAGCTATTTACAAGCCTGTGATTTCTTGTGATTTGCAGCATATGTTTAGGGAAATAAGGAGTAATTCCAGTTATATAAAATGGTCAGATTAGGAAGTAAAAGGAAACCACCAAAAAGTTGTACCGAGTGTCAATTATATAAAAATGGTTCCTGTTAGGGGTGCCTGGGTGACTCAGTCGGTTGAGCATCTGACTCTTGATTTTGGCTCAGGTCATGATCTCAGAGTCGTGAGATCAGGAGAGAGTCTGCTGGAGATCCTCTCCCTCTCCCTCCCACCCAGCTCTCTCTCAAATTAAAAAAAAGAAGAAAAAGTCCCTGTTAGCCCTTAAGAGTATGGTGAGACCATATAAATTTGGAAAACAAATGTATTGTTGAAATGAATTTCAGAATAGTTTATTAAATGTTCTTTTTCATTCTAGAGACTATAGCTAGACTTTTTAGAGAGTTTTAAAACCACAACAAAAGTTACAGTATACAAACGGCTCTTCTAAAAGTATTTGAATACTTTAGAGTTCACAAGTATTTTATTTCATTTAATCTCAAGTAATTTCCCTTGCGGTATTATTTACACTGTGCATTACACTAAATACACTATTTCTTCTGTCTGTGATAGCAAAGATGAACTTCAGTCTAGCACTTCCTTCAGTTACAAGATTTAGAAATATACCAAGTCAACATTATTAAACCTTTACTAAATGCCTGTTTGGCAATTTTTCTTTTTCGTTTTCTTTTTTTCTCAGAACCAGATCCAGTGTTCTCCCTTTACTCATCATTTGGGCTGTTTTTTTTCCCTCCCAGTGATACCTTTTTATACTCTGTGCATCTCCCCTCCACATTTCACTGAAAATTCTAGCCTTTTTAAGGATTTTTTTTAAAGATTTTATTTATTTATTTTACAGAGATCACAAGTAGGCAGAGAGGCAGGCAGAGAGAGAGAGAGAGGAAGGGAAGCAGGCTCCCTGCTGAACAGAGAGCCTGATGTGGGGTTCAATCCCAGGACCCCTGGGACCATGACCTGAGCTGAAGGCAGAGGCTTTAACCCACTGAGCCACCCAGGCGCCCCTTAAGGATTTATTTTTATAGAGAGAGTGTGAACTGTGGGGGAGGGCCGGAGGGAGAGAGAGAATCCCAAGGAGTCTCCACGCCCAAGTGCAGAGCTCTCACAAAAGTCTCACAACCCTGATACCATGACCTGAGCTGAAATCAAGAGTTGGACGCTTAACTGACTGAGCCATCCAGTTGCCTCTGAAAATTCTCACGTTTAAAACAACTTGAAAGATGAAAAAGTCCTTTTTAAATATTTTTTTCAGAACTCCACCATATTAACAAGGTTCAGTTGACTTGCTGGGTCCTTTTTATAGTGGCACAACTTTTAATGGATTATACTCAGATTTGTGTTTGCTGTTTTGTACCCATCGAGGTAAAATGTAAAAAGAAAACTCTGAAAACTGGTATGAGATCATAAAATATATCTGATTGCCCTCTGTCTGACATAGTTGGCAATTTATGCTTCAGTTTTTCTCATGTATAAAGTCATGATAATCCCTAGTTTATAAGTTTGTGATAAGAATTAAAGAGAACATATAAAGTGTCTAGCAAAATGCCTGCTGTGTAGGAGACGTCTTTATTGTTGTTCTATCTTACAGAGCATTTATCTGTACACTAGGAATTGTGTTCTTCTCCAGCCTTTCTCATCATCTCCTATCGCAAGTCCTTTGCTGCCTCCTGCTGCCTAGCACAAGGTTGAGATAGGCCAGAGAGTGGGAAGGAATGTTCACAGGCTTAGGATATGTTTTTAGCAAATCTAAATGAAGCCATTTTGTCTTAACCCATTCTGTACCCAAGTTTCCAGTTAAAGTTTGGATTATTTTCTTCCTTACTAATCAGTCCTTCATAAATCGATAGTTCTTACCTATACATAATGGAATTGTGAATTTTGTTTGTTAAATGCTTTTTACTGGTAAATGTCAGAGGTAGGCATTTCGCCCTTCAGCACAGCTACACGGCTCTTCATACAAACCGTGGAAGCAAGTTGCTGTCCGCATTCACAGAGCCATCATGTGTACTTCATTTCCTGGCAATTTCAGTATGTCTGCTGGACCATGAACCTTACTGTCAATCTCACTAGAGACCCCTGATAACAGCACACTTGGCCCGGCTGATCCCATTCTGCCTGCATTCCAGTTCTGGAGCTGAACGACATGCTGTCCTCTTGCCGTGAAGTGAAGCATTGGACAGTTTAGGGGCCTAGGATGCCTGGGAGTAAATCCAGGCATCCAGGCCCCAAGGGACTGTAATCTCCCCAAGCCGGGGAAAGACTGGCTAAGGCACTGGAAGTGGAAGTGAGCCTCAGAGAGGAGAAGAGTACAGGAGAATGAAAGGATTACTGGAGCGAGCTGGAAAAGAGACTGGCACCTGGCTGGCTTGGTCAGGGGAGTGTATGACTCTTGATCTTGGGCTTGTGAGTTTGAGCCCCACTTTGGGTGTAGAGATTACTTAAAAAAAAAAATCTTGGGGCGCCTGGGTGGCTCAGTGGGTTAAGCCTCTGCCTTCGGCTCGGGTCATGATCCCAGGGTCCCGGGATCAAGCCCCAGATCAGGCTCTCTGCTCGGGGAGCCTGCTTCCCCCTCTCTCTCTGCCTGCCTCTCTGCCTACTTGTGATCTCTGTCTGTGAAATAAATAAATAAAATCTTTAAAAAAAAATCTTGGGGGGAAAAACTGAAAACGTGGGGAAAATATGTGGGGTCATGGGCACGTGACACTTAAAACAGCAGACTTTATATTCAACTAAAAACTTTTTTTTATGCTTTTAAGGTATCATGAAGACAGATAATACAGAAGTTCTTCTTTCTGCTGACTTCACTGGAGCAATCAAAGTGTTTATTAACAAAAGGAAAAATGCACCTTAATTTGAAATGACATTTAAAATAAACATATCAGTAAGTTTCTGTATGTATCAGAACTGAAAAAAGTAGATTATAGTGTTTCAGGCTAACATCCTTTTTTTTGTTGTTTAATTTTTATTGGAAGTTGTTCAAATATAATATATTTTTTGAGCGGCAGTGTTAATGACCTATAAACCCTGGACTGATAGACTAGACAGAAATGTGGCTAGAATAACATTGCCAAACATTAGGCTTTATGTTTTGTTATATTTGTGTTTTTGTTACATAATTGTGAACATGCACAGGTTTCTGCATGAAAATATATTAATATATTAATCACATGTGTGTGCCTTTTGGTTACATGCACTAAATCTAACAGAGTTAAATTATTTCATTGGCCCTTTTGGCCTCTTACGGTGGGGGGGGGGGGGGTCTTGTTTCTAGCTTATAAAGTTTCTTTTGCACAAAACTTCATTTTTCAGAAAAGTGGTATTGACTGAGTTACTGTTTTGAAAATGTTATACAGGTTTTCAATAGGTCAACAACTATGTGTAAATGGTTTTTATAAATTTCTCAATTTGGGGACAAGATTTTTTTTGTGTGTGGTCTAAATTGTGAACTTAAGATTCTTTTCTTTGTATGTATATATATAATTTTTCTTCTTTTCTCTTTTTCTTTATCTTCTTTCGTTTTTCTTTTTCCCATTCTTTTCTTTCTTTCTTTCTTTCTTTCTTTTTTTTTTTTTTTTTTTTTTGCTACACTGGAGCACAATGTTTCTATGTAAAAAATTCTTTTCATTCTTTATCCATGAGCACCAGGCTTTGCTCACTTAAAAAAATTAAGCCGCATTAAGGAGTGAGTCTTCTTTTTTACAATAATGTAAAAATGAACTGTTTACATTTTTTTAAAGCATTGTAGTTTTAAAAATTAAGCTGTTTTGTTTTGTGTTGTTGAATTTGAAAGCCTTTGTAAATATTGATATAATGTACCAATGAAATAACATCTGGGGCAATGGAACCCTGATCATGTTGTTGATGGTTAGCATATGTTTCTGAAAATTAAATATGTATTATTAAAAGTTGGTCACCAAACACTTGTTAAATATGTGACTTTATTTTCAGATGACCTTGGGAAACTGAGGAATGTAAGAAAAACAAAGTCTTACTTTATACTTTGATTTTTAACGAGAAGACCAGATGCTGGACCCCTGACTTACAGTGCATTAACCACATACCTTACGAAAAAATATTTTTCTAATTCTAAACTGATAAGAGTTCACCTGTATGCTTATGTGTTCTTTATTGCATTTGGTTTTGGTATCTGCGTGAGAAGCTCAAAGCCATGATCGTATCCTTATTCGTCAGCATCGTCTTGGAGTGTTCTGGATACTCTGTTTCATTGCATGTTGTTTGCCTTGGTTTCACCCCTGTGCTGCCTTTTTTTTCTTTTTTTTTTTCTTTTTGCTATTGCCAGTGCTGTGCTCTCCCCCTTCTCTGCTCTCTCTGCTGTACTCTTCCTGACACATGGAGTTGTTAGGCCACTGGCTCTGTAACCGGTCCGTTGCTTTAGTCTCAAGATCTGGCTGGTAGTTGGATTGATCTAGTGTTTCAGAGAATTTGATGTCTTCAACTCTTAGAGGCAGCTTGGCTTTCACTGACTTCTGCCCAAAGACTTGTAGTACTGTTGTGGCACTAATCATTTCAATTGCAGATAATTGGGGCCTTGCCATATGAATATTTCCTGATAGGTTTCATGTGGTTTCTGGAACGAAAAGGCAAAAAATAGTTGGCATGCAAGTTTGAGAGACTAATACTAACCTTTCTAGGTTTAGTTTTTTAAATGTTTGCTGACACTACATAAATAACATGCAGATTTACAAGTCAGAAGGTGAATTTGAAAACAGACTCAAGATGTATACTAAGAAAAACTGATTAATATTTCTCTGTAAAATGAGTATTAGAAACTCACTGTAATAAGTGGTGCGGAAGAAAGAGCACAGAGTGTAGAATCAGATAAACTTAGTTTTGGCTCCCTCCATTAGCACATTCCTTGGGTAAGTTATTTATCCTATATTAATTTTCATTTCCTTGTCTGTAATAGGAGAACACCTAACTGAAATTATAAATTTTTACTGAGAAATCATGTATGTCTAAAGCTTGGTGCCTGGTAAGTAGGTGTTCTCAACAAATGTACATTTCTCACTACCTTTCCCAAATCCCTTCATGCCCTCTAAACCCTCTTCCCCCGTAAAAAATATATAGAAGTGCTTTCTAGACATCTGAGATTTCTTGGGTGAATAGCCTTTTAGGGGTTGACATAAGGCACCAACTTTTTTTTTTTTCCAACTTGATGCTTTAATCTTAAACCATCTACCATCACCTCTTCAGGAGAGAGATCATTTTATTTTTTTTAAAAGATTTTATTTATTTATTGGACAGAGAGATCACAAGTAGGCAGAGAGGCAGGCAGAGAGAGAGGAAGAAGCAGGCTCCCCGCTGAGCAGAGAGCCCGATGCGGGGCTCAATCCCAGCACCCTGGGATCATGACCTGAGCCAAAGGCAGAGGCCCTACCCACTGAGCCACCCAGGCGCCCCGAGAACATTTTAATAGTTAAAAAAAAGTTAGCTATAATCTTACCATCTTAGAGCAGTGAACAATCTATTAAAGTGAATAAACCTAGCTTGTGAAAAAAAGAAAAAAGTAACCATACTCTCCTTTTTTCCAATTTCTCCTTCTGTGTATTAAAAGCTCTTTGAAAAGTCATTTTGAGCTTTTTTCTCTCTCTCTCATTTACCTTAATTGGAATTAAAATATTAATGACTCAACATAATTTAGCATGCCATTTTCTATGATCTTCAAATGGTACAGCTGGGCAGAGACTTTTTATTCTTAAAATAACATGTTTAACAATGTATTATCCCTCAAATCCTGATTTCAGTTGTGTAGCTTTGAGAATCAGAGGCCAGATATCCCTACTCATGAAAAAAAGAATATTTTTCTTAAGGATTTCAGTTACTTTTAGTTAAAGAAAAGCAGCCTTTTCCAAGGGTTAGAATATTTTTAAATAACCTCAGTTACTATGAGGATTCAAGGTGAAGACCTGTTTGGGATTTAATGTTTCCCCATCACTTTTCAAAAGAAAAACATTCCCAGTTTTACTGGTTTCTAGCTCTCTGACTTACTTATTCATGAAGCAGGTGTTTATTGAATACGTACCACACACACAGCACTGCTGGGACTACAGCAGAATAAGACAACATTCCTGTGCCAGGAGAACTCACAGTCTGGCGGAGAAGATGCCCACAGAAACAAGTAAGAGGCTTGGAACCATCTTGTGGCTGTGGCCCCAGAAATGCCCCTTCTCGTCCTCACCCCTCTCTGTTGCACCCTTCCTGGTTACTGGTGGCAGCCACTTGATCTCAGGCCAGTCTTTGTTCATCTGATATTATCAGCCCCAAGGATAGTATGGGTAACAGAGTTTATAAGTAAGCCAGAGAGAGGTAAGGCAGAGAAAAGCAAGTACCCTCCGTAGTGACATTTTCCCTGGTCTCTGGTCCTCTCCTCCCGGCCTGAAATCTTTGTCTTATTTCCCCCCAAAATCTTAGAACTGTCTTCTGCTTTGAGCTAACTCCAGCTTAATAGACCCCTGCGCTCAGCTGCTCTCCGGTTCCCTTCAGTTCGGAAGCTTTGCCTGTTCGTTTTCTTCTGTTTTGTTCTCTAGATTGGAGTCATCCAGGCTTCCCTTCCTGACCACAGGCACTGCTCAGGTATAGATTCACACACGTGAAAGCCATTCAGGTGGACGCAGCGAGGTGGAGGGCGGTGGCAGTGTAGACCGCAAGGAGAGATCAGTCGCAGAGTCCCAAACAAACCAAATGCCCTCATGGAAGTTAGCTAGGGTGGTCCAAGCAGATAGTTTGCTCCATCATCCAGCTACCCTGCATTACATTTTTTAAAATAAAATTTTTACTTTGGAATAACTTTAGATTTACAAAAAAGTTGCAGAAAATACGGAATTCCCATATACTCCTTTCTCAGTTTCCCGTCACGTTGACATCTACATTACTATGGGGCGTTAGTCAACACTAAGAAACCAACCTGCTACACTACTGTTAAGTAAAGTCCAGACTCTTCAAACTGCAGCAGTTTTTGTCCTCTAGTGTCCTTTTTCAGTTCTAAGATCCAATACAGAATACCATATTGCATTTAGTCATATGAAGTTTTCTTAATTTAAATAAACATTTTATTTGAGAACATTAAGGGGCGCCGGGGTGGTTCGGTTGGTTAAGCGCCTGACTTGATTTTGGCTCAGGTCTTTATCCTTGGGGTCGTGAGATCGAGCCCTGCATTGGGCTTCGCTGCACTCAGCGTGGAGTCTGCTGGATATTCTCTCTCTGCCCCTTCTCCCCACCTTCAAATAAATAAATCATTTTTTAAAGAGAAATAGTTTAGGGGTGCCTGGGTGGCTCAGCAGGTTAAAGCCTCTGCCTTTGGCTCAGGTCACGATCCCAGGGTTCTGGGATCGAGCCCCGCATCGGGCTCTCTGCTCAGCGGGGAGCCTGCTTCCTCCTCTCTCTCTCTGCCTGCCTCTCTGCTGACTTGTCATCTCTGTCAAATAAATAAATAAAATCTTTAAAAAAACTAGTTGATAAGGTTTTCAGGAAAGTTTGCAAAGAGTTCCTGTATCTCCCATACCACTTTCTCTGTTGTTAATGTCTTACGTTACTGTGGTACATTTTTCACATCAAAAAACCAACAATTGGTACATTACTACTAAACTGTGTGCTTTATTCAGATTTCAGTAGTTTTAAAGCTAATGTCCTTTTTCTGTTCTGGGATCTCTTCCAGGATATGATATTACTGTGCTTGTCAGGTCTCCTCAGTCTCCTCTTAGCCATTATGGTTTTTCAGATTTTTCATGCTTTTGATAACCTCAACAGTTTCGAGAAGTACTGGTCAAGTATGTTGTTGAATGGCCCTGGGTTTGGGTTTGTCTTTAGTTTTTCTCATCATTTGACTGGGTTTATGGACTGGGAGGAAGGCGACAGAGGTAAATTGCTCTTTTCATTGCATCACATTAAGGAAACGTACTATGAACATGACTTAGCACCTGGCTGAGGTTGTGTTTGTCAAGCTTCTCCACTACAGAGTTAATGTTTTCTTTCTTTCTATAAATCTGCTCTTTGGAAATGAATCACTAAGCACAGCCCAAACTCAAAGTGTGGAGAGGAGTTACCGCCCGCCTCCTCGAGTGGCAAGTAGCTCTGCAACTTACTTGGCATTGTCATGTGCAGAAGATAGGTCTCTTCTGTCTCATTTATACGTATTAACTCAACCCTTTCTTGATGTTAGCATGCGCTCGTGGGTATTTATTTTATGCTTTGAGTTGTAAACCAATACTGTATTATTTTGTTGTTTAGCTTGTTCCAGCCCTTAACAATTAAGAATTCTTTCAAGGTGGCTTCTGTGTCCAGTTGACAAAGCCCCCCCCTCTTTTTTTGAGCATTTCCTTGCTTGCTGTCACTCCAAGATGCTCCAGGCTCCTCTTATCTCTTTCCTGCCCCAGCCATTTAATCAAGGAGCCCTGGTTCCTTTTATGGGAGAAGGGCATCAGAAACCACCATCTGGGTGGTAGATGTGCTCATCGCCACCAGGTGTCCTTTCTCTT